ATATATATATATATATATATTTGTATCATGCATATAATACATATGTAGTCCGAATTGCACCGAATTGAATTTTCCGGACTTGTAAACACAATTACAGTAATGATATCAGAAATTAAATAAAATAGGCAAGCTATTTTAATAATTTAATGCTCAATCAAGCAATATTAGAAAAATGTTAATGTAGTAAAAAACTATAAATTTATTGCAAAAACTATTACAAGGAAAAATATTGGCAGAGAATCAAACTTGAATCTTTTGCATTCTTTGTAAGCGTCCTAAAACTAGCTTTTAAACTGAAAGAAAGACATTGTATTCATACATGTATCGATTATTGCAAAGAATATTATAAAGTCTCAGTTTAAAAGCTCAAGACGCTCGTACGAAATACAAAAGATCCGGATTTGACTGCCGGTCGAGGTATAATATTGTTCGCAAAAATTAATTTACAGTTTTTCAGCACATGGACATATCTTTCTAATATGATATCGAATTGAACATAAAAATTATTAAAATTTGTTTGTTAATTTAATTTAATTTGTGATATTATAGTAATTTAATTGCATTTATGAATCCGAAAAATCAATTCGGCACGGTTCGAATGATTACATATATACTATATATGCATATATGTACAGATATAGTATGTACATAATTTACATTAAATTATTTAAGCATTAATGATCTAGCTTCGACCGTTATAGAAATTTAACTTCTAGTTTTTATTGTTCTCACATATACGGTCTAAAAATAAGATTTAAAGTTTAAACTTATTTAAATACACTATCCAAATATGATAATACCTAATATAGTCTTGTAATCATATATAACCACACATAAGCTCTTATCAGGCTAAAATTCATACATGAACAAATAAGATTGTTTCTTATAGCATATAAAAGGTATTTCTTCTTGGATTATATGTACATTGTTTGGAAGCACTAAAACAATTCTGGAAGAGTCGATTACAACTTTTTTCTTGTTTAACACATAAATAAAAAAAATAGATAG